TTAAATAAAATGCAGTGATATTGAACTTCCAAATTCATAAATGGATTGTAATAAACGTATGTCTGGATGTACTTATTATAGAAATTCTTGTGTTTAAACTTAAAACAATTGTAATTTATATATAACATATGGATCTGATGATTAAACTAAAAAAAATTATTGTGAAGGTCTAAAATCATCAGATAATACTTTATGTACTTTTATACCAGGTGTAGGAGTGTGTTTCAATTAATCAAGCAGTTGTTCATCATATGATGTATCTGCTTTAACAGATAAAATAGTTTGGTGTGAATAATTAGTATAAAGTGATGGATAAATATGTACAAATATTAATGATGCATCAAGTTGTAGCACTAAAACATATACATGTGAAACAATAACAGCTAACAGTTAATCTGATTGTGATAAAATTTTGGAAAATGAATGTATTTATTATAATACAAAATGTTATACAAAATAAAGTAGTTGTTCATCATATATAATTCCATTAAGTATAACAAATAAATAACTATTTTGCAAGAATATGTTTGATAGCTCATAGAAATATTGTACAGGTGGATCTACAAATTGTGGATTACCAACAAATGATTGTACAAACATAGTAGCAAATGGAAGTGATGATTCTTAAAAGAGAATTTATTGTAGAGATTACAAATCATCTGATGGATAGATGTGTGGATATTCATCTGGATTGAATTGTGAAATAGAACATTATTATTGTAGTGTATTTATTAGTGCCACTAGTTAAGAATATTGTGATTAGAGAATAGATAATTGTGTTTATATTTAAAAGAGTGGAAAATGTATTGAAAAATATTTGGTATCAGATTGTACAACAATGTTATTTAATACTGGATTATCTAATGCTAATAGAATAAGTTATTGTTAATCATATAATCCAAATGGAAACATTTGTACTTGGAATACAGCAACAGATCATTGTGAATTAGATACAAAATAATGCATAGATTTTGATGCAACTGGATAATCTGATAAAAGAACTTTCTGTTAATCTAAATAGGGATATAATTGTTCATGGAGAAATGGAGATACATCTTCATTATGTAGAAAATTTAAATGTTAAGATGTTGATCTAGCTCAAAGTTAATCTGATTGTGATTCTAAAATATTTGGATGTAGTTTCTACATTAATTCTTGTTTCACACTTGAAAATAATTGTGATAATTATTATGCTTTGGGTACTGATAATTAATTAAAATAATACTTTTGCAATGGAATTCCAACTATATCTAATCAAAAATGTACTTATTTATCAGATGATTATAAATGTCGAGTTAGAGATCAATGTACTACTTATAATGTCTAAAATGTAAGTGATAAGGTTAATGCATGTTTAGGAATGTATAATCAAACAGGAATTTAATGTATATATGTTAAAGGTAATACTTGTAATTAAGTTGATAAATGTGAAACTTATACTGGATTATCTAATATGAGTAATTGCACTACTTTATTTGATACTAATAAAAGAAATTGTATTTAGGGTAATACTTCATGTCTTACATTTACTTGTGATAATATAAGTAATCCTACTTCTTAAAGTGATTGTGATACATAATTAAAAGGTTTATGCTTTTTTAATTCTACTAATTCTAAATGCATAAATATCTCTGATTGTTCAACATATAAAAAGAGTGATTGGCCACTTAATGCAGATCCAATTTAACATTGTTCAACTCTTATTGATAAAAATGGACATAATTGTACTGCTGATGATGCTACTAGTATCTTATGTAGAGAAAGATTATGTAGTGATAAATTATTCTATTTAAATTCAGATTGTAAAGAATGGAAATCTTCATGTAAATCAGATGGAGCAAAATGTATAGAATCAACTAAAACTTGTTCATAATTTACTGGTAATTAAGATTCATGTAGCAAATATTTGGATTCTGATAATCTCAATTTTTGTAAAGTTATAAATGGTTCAGAATAAGATGTAGGACCATGTTTATCTTTATCTTGTTATCAAAACACAACAGCAAATTCTGATTCAGAATGTTAATCATATCAAAATGGATGTTTAACTAGAGGAGTTGGATGTATACCTAATACAGCTAAATGTGATGAATATAGAGGAACTAGAGATCAATGTGCTAAATTCACTGGATATGTGTCTTCAACTATTACTGAAATCTGTTCAGGTGACTTTACAAATACTGATTAATCAAAATGTAGATCAAGAATATGTTCAGATAATTTAATAGATAATAGTGATGCTCTATGTTCATATTTTAAAACTGGTTGTGTAACCAATGGATAAGGTTGTATTGATATTAATGCTAGTTGTAGTAGTTATAAGGGAACTCAATAATAATGTAGTAAATTTATGGGTAATAATAAAACTGTTTATTGTTGGAATAATATAGATGCTCCTAGTAATTATAATTGTATTGATAAATTATGTAATCATGTTTTGGGTACTACAGATCAATACTGTGAGTAAGAATTTCCAAAAGTATTGATTAATGGCAATTTGACTTTACTTTGTATTAGTAATGGTATTAATTGTATCAAAAATCCAGCCAAATGTAGTGATTTTATAGGCAATAATATTAGTTGTTAAACATTCACTGCATTAATTGATGGACCATGTAAAGGTAATTTAGACAATTCAATGGGATATTGTTAACCTAGAGTATGTTATGAAGCACCAAAATCATATAATACTGATGCATAATGTTAAGATTATCATCCTACTTGTTTAACAACAGGATAAGGATGTATGAAATTTTCATCTTATGATAATTAAGGCAAACCAACTTTAAATTGTAATAGTATTGTTAGTAATGATGTATGTTCTTTAAAACTTGGTTGTACTTTAGCTAGTTAATGTTTAGTATCTGTTTCATCATGTTCGTAAGTAAAATCATAAGCAATTTGTTAAACAACAATTTTATAAAATGGAAAGAATTGTGTTTATGATTTATCATTAAATTAATGTAGAGAATTTTAATGTAATGATTATGTCGGAATCAATGATAATAATATATGCTAGTAATTTAGTAATAATTGTACAACTAATGGTAATGGATGTGAAATTATGAAATCATGTGTATAATATTATGAAAAACTTACATGTTAATCTGCATACTCTACTGATCCAATTAATAGATGTATATGGACAGATTAAGGATGTAGATAGAGAGAATGCAAAGATTTGAAAGGAACTACTAATTAATCTTGTAAATAATTTATTTCAGGATGTATTACAAATGGTTAAAATTGTGTTGGACCAAATTATTTATGTTAAGATCTACTTGAAAAAACTTGTTTAACAGATTATTAAGGTAATCCTTGTATATTCTATAAATAAACTTGTTATTCTTACTCAAAATGTGAAGATATGAAATTTACTACTCATGAAGAATGTCAATAATTCTCAGAACTTTGTACATCAAATGAATTAAATTGTATACCATTAAATAAATGTTAATATTATACTAAATAAGAATCTTGTAATATAGGAATTGATGGAATGTGTGGTTGGAATAATAATAAATGCAATTTATTTAAATAATGTTCAGATGTTATGGGAACTTCAACTCCTATTTGTTAATAATATTCAAATATTTGTGTAAGTGATGGTGTAAAATGTGTTGAATAAAATATTTGTTCATTTTATAACTCATAATTCTTATGTGAACATAATAAGGGACTTGATGGAGTATGTATATGGATTGATAATGCATGTAGATTGAAATAATGTGAAGATTTGACAACAAATACAGATACATTTAATAAATGTTTTAATTAATTAAGTCCTATGCATTGTTCTAGTAATGGTACAAAATGTATCAGTCTATCTTCTTGTTAATATTATAATGAGAAATCTTGTATTATAGGTACAGATGGACCTTGCATTTACAAATTACCTTTTGATAAGAAATCAGGTTAAATCTCTTGCAGACTTAAATAATGTTAAGATGTAATTGGTAAAACTTTGGATGTATGTTTGTCTGCTTTTGATTCTTCATATAAAAAATGTGTCTCGAATGGATCCATATGTGTTGATTTTAATAATTGTTCATCATATACTACTAAAATTGCATGTGCTTCAGGAGGTCTAGATGGATAATGTGCTTTCACACCTATAGCATCATAGTCTAATGATGGAATCTGTAAACTATTTACATAATGTTCAGATGCAAATAGTGACAAAGATACTTGTCTATCTAATTCAAAATACTGTTAATGGATTTCATCAGGTGTAACTAAACAATGTATTCCACATACTTGTCTCACTTATAATTCTAAAAAGGATTGTCTTCCTGTTCCCAGTTATGATTAAAAATCCTTCCTTTTATGTGCTAAAATAAATAATATCTGTTAAGAAGTCTAACCAACAACATTAACCATGGAAACATGTTACATAAATAGTGCTTAAACATATATTTGGAATACATCCACATCCAAATGTGTTTAATGTAAAATTAAAACTGATAATAATGTTGCCCCAAATTCCTAAGTATCCACAAAGTCATCGGTTTTGCTATTTACCTTAGCAATCCTATTCAATTTATATTTCTGATCCTATATAAATTGTATTATTCATTATTAATATTCATTTTCAAACTTTAATCATTATGAAAAAATCTTTTAATTATATTTAATAATGTAGGCAAAAATAAATACATTATAATAAGCTTAATGTTTTCAATTTTTGAATTCTTTTTTAGATATTAAGTATATCATATTAAAATAATAGTTTAAATTACTTAAAAATACTATTAAAATAATAAAGATATTTAATTATCCTTTGTAAGTAATTTATCTAAAAAGGTAAAATTCATATCAAAAGAAGTCATTTTGTTGATTAAGTTTCAATTTGGAATTAAACTCTATATAAGATATATAAATAACACTTATGTAAATGTATATATATATAATAATAAAGTCATTATGGATTANATGTGTTGAATAAAATATTTGTTCATTTTATAACTCATAATTCTTATGTGAACATAATAAGGGACTTGATGGAGTATGTATATGGATTGATAATGCATGTAGATTGAAATAATGTGAAGATTTGACAACAAATACAGATACATTTAATAAATGTTTTAATTAATTAAGTCCTATGCATTGTTCTAGTAATGGTACAAAATGTATCAGTCTATCTTCTTGTTAATATTATAATGAGAAATCTTGTATTATAGGTACAGATGGACCTTGCATTTACAAATTACCTTTTGATAAGAAATCAGGTTAAATCTCTTGCAGACTTAAATAATGTTAAGATGTAATTGGTAAAACTTTGGATGTATGTTTGTCTGCTTTTGATTCTTCATATAAAAAATGTGTCTCGAATGGATCCATATGTGTTGATTTTAATAATTGTTCATCATATACTACTAAAATTGCATGTGCTTCAGGAGGTCTAGATGGATAATGTGCTTTCACACCTATAGCATCATAGTCTAATGATGGAATCTGTAAACTATTTACATAATGTTCAGATGCAAATAGTGACAAAGATACTTGTCTATCTAATTCAAAATACTGTTAATGGATTTCATCAGGTGTAACTAAACAATGTATTCCACATACTTGTCTCACTTATAATTCTAAAAAGGATTGTCTTCCTGTTCCCAGTTATGATTAAAAATCCTTCCTTTTATGTGCTAAAATAAATAATATCTGTTAAGAAGTCTAACCAACAACATTAACCATGGAAACATGTTACATAAATAGTGCTTAAACATATATTTGGAATACATCCACATCCAAATGTGTTTAATGTAAAATTAAAACTGATAATAATGTTGCCCCAAATTCCTAAGTATCCACAAAGTCATCGGTTTTGCTATTTACCTTAGCAATCCTATTCAATTTATATTTCTGATCCTATATAAATTGTATTATTCATTATTAATATTCATTTTCAAACTTTAATCATTATGAAAAAATCTTTTAATTATATTTAATAATGTAGGCAAAAATAAATACATTATAATAAGCTTAATGTTTTCAATTTTTGAATTCTTTTTTAGATATTAAGTATATCATATTAAAATAATAGTTTAAATTACTTAAAAATACTATTAAAATAATAAAGATATTTAATTATCCTTTGTAAGTAATTTATCTAAAAAGGTAAAATTCATATCAAAAGAAGTCATTTTGTTGATTAAGTTTCAATTTGGAATTAAACTCTATATAAGATATATAAATAACACTTATGTAAATGTATATATATATAATAATAAAGTCATTATGGATTATATTTAAAAATTTAATTTTATCAATTTCAATATTGTATTATTGATAATGGTAATTACAATTTCTAATAATAGAAATATATATAATTATTTATTAATAGTCTGACAATCTATTTAATATTAATTAAATTTGTTCATTTATTTTTTTTTTATGTTTTATCTCATCTGTTCAATTGATTTAAAAAGAATAGAATGAGTGTTTTACATTTAAACAATAAATGAATCTATTTAAAACGAATAGATTTTAGGAAATTAAATTTTCGAAATTATTTTAGATTATGTTTAAATCTATTTATTGAGTTAAAGTTTTGAAATATGATTGAGATTAGTTAGTTGATGAAATTAGATTAGGTTTAATTTAATGCATTGTTTAGCTAGGATTGAATTTTTATATAAATTAAAAATAATATAAAAATGGCTTAGTAGAAAGGAAAGAATAAGATTAATCATAGATAAAGGTAGGGTGATTGGATTTGTAGTAATTGCAACAATATGAATTTTGCATTTAGAGACTCTTGCAATAGATGTAATACTGTGAAAAATATGAAAAATAATGAGAGTAAAGGATTCAAATCTGCGCTCTTTTTAACCGAGAGTAATGGGGATATACCTCCAATATCAGATCGGTCAAATAAATCATCAGGTGAGAAAACTGATATTGGAACCAATAAGTTTTCATTTGATAAATTACCTTCTATGGAACCAATTTTAAAACAGATAACTAAAGAAACATGTATAATCAATTAAAATATGAAGAACCAAAATATGATTTCTTTGAGTTTGAATGGCAATGCTAAAAATGCCAAAAGATTAATTAATACTATAAAATTCATTGTGTCGAATGTGGAGCTTAAAGGTATAGAAAATCTACGATTTGATCTATTACAATAAAATGTTGATTTTGTTATATAATTTAAGTTGTTTTTTATTGTATTTTTAATTTAAAAATGAATGGAGAGAGAAGAACATGTGGGTGTTTAATGAGATCATATGAATAATTAATTAATATAATTTTATTAATAAAAATTTAACTGTTAATGAAAGACATCTCAAGAAGAATCTTTGAAAAAGAAAATTATGCAGAAGTCTCAAATAATCCTAGACAATTAAACAAATCACTAACTTAATTGGTATCATTAACTATGATAAACAATACTCGAAGTATTACATAAAATCTTAAATTCCTTAGAAACCGAATTTAAAGGTGTTGATATAAAGAATAATTATGTATCTATCTCCCAAAGACCACTTGTATTTTGTAAACCTGAATAGAGAGTAAAAACAACAAAAACTATACCATCACCATAAAAATAATCATAAGAGAGGAGTAATGAAGGTTAATCAAAAGAATTATGTAATTTAATTTAGAATTACTCTGAACCGATTTTAGATTATTATATTGAATTAAATGTATGCTATAAAAGTGTATTTTAAGACATAAACACCTAAAAATAGTTTATAAAACCATTCCATAAATGTTAATTTAAGAGCAAAAATGATAGATTGGATAATTGAAGTTCTTTCATCTTATAAATGCAAAGATCAAACATTTTATTTATCAGTAAGATTGATGGATTTATATTTATAAAAAACAACTCAGAAACATATGCCATAAGACTTACATTTAGTTGGAGTAACATCAATGTTTATGGCATGTAAATATGAAGAAATTTATCCTGTAAAATTGCAAATTGTTCATGAAAAAATAGCACACAAAAAATTAAGTAAGGAGGAAATTAAGGACAAAGAAACAAATATTTTATAAGTTCTTGATTTCAATTTAAATGGGACTACAATATTAGATATAATAACAATGGTCTTATCAATATTAAATCTTCATTAATAGTTATACGAAGCAGCTAATTTATTATCAAAACTAGTATTTATTTATAATAAATATATAAATAGACTTTATTTGATTATGATTTTATTAACCAATACTCATATATGTAGTTAGCATGTGCAGCTTTAATTGTTAGTACTAAAACTATAGAATAGATTGATTAAAGTTTATCATCTGAAGTGACAATTCCACTTATAATATCTACATTAAAATTAGATTATAAAGATTCCATCACATGTGCTAATCGATTACTAGAACTGGCTAAGGGATTTGAGAAATAGTTTCCTAATTTAGAAAATCTAAAGAAATTTGGTAAGTTTCGAATTTCAGACATCATAAAAACATAATGTTGATTATATGCTTTATTTAATATTTAAGACTATATTTTAGATTATGAATGTATAATATTTTTACCCTTACTGAAATTGCTAGTGATCATTCTTGTAATGGTTAAGTACTTCTCATGAAAAATAATTACAAAAAATAGTACATTAAAAATAGTTAAATTTTTTGAATAAAATTAATACATTAAAAAAATACCATTTACATAACTTTAAATTTTTAATGATATTTCTTGAACCATTTTCATAATGGTGTTGTTTTGAACCTCATAAAAATGAGAATCGGATTAAAAATGCATTGAATGTAAAATAACAAGAATAAAAATTTAAGAATTTTCGTTTTTTAGAGATTTTGAATATTATATATATTTGTCAAGATCTTATCTGAGTATATGGTATAGGGTAATATTGATATTAATATGGTTGTTATGTGTAAGAAAATTATGGCAGGAGTTAGGAAAGTGAGTCAAATTCTTATTTGATTTATCCTTAAGGTTTTAAATCAAGGATTGATTTAAATACTTGTTAGGATGAGAGTAACATGTTTTGAATGATGGATTAATACATCAAATTTGGTTAATTCATATGAGATATGATTGCTGAAGTGAATTTAGAGCATTAAGTTTGGAAAAGGGATTGTTATTGGTTTGCTAAGGTAATTTGATCAAGTAGCGACGGCTGTTTGTCAATATATATCTAAATATTGAATTACTAAAGAATACCTTATGAATATCAGATTGGACACTCAAAGGTTGAATCTCCATTGTGAAAGGATTTAAAACACTTATTTTTAGAATACTTTCAACTTTTAACTTCTTCTTTCTAGATTCTTTTTTTCCTATACGACCTTCTTTTTCATATGTCTTTTAAATTGTTCGTACTGTACAATACTTTAATTACAGTTTGCTAGCCACCTAAAAGATATTAAATGAAATAGCAATAATAAATAGAAAGAGAAGACAAGTGATAAGAATAATGATGATTTATACCTCTTATAGCGATAACTTTTAATTCAATAGCATATCAAGTACTAATTTTCTTTAATCACATCCAATTTTTTGATATTGTTTACTTTCTTTAGGTTTGTCTTACGTATTATTTGATTTGCCCATACTTTATGAATCTTTATAATTATTATTTTCGAAAAATATTTTTAAAATCAGATCTGGTTTTTAATTTAAAAAAAGATCCAATAGTGATTATATAATTATAATCTTAATATTTATTGTATTCTATTTATATATCTATTCTTATTTTAAAATCTTAATTTTCAATAAAAGTATTAAAAATATAAAGTATTTATTTGATGTAATATGAAGATAAAAATTAGTATAACTATTTTTTTATTTTAATTGTTGTATCATAAATAAAAATATCATAATTAAACTTTTTTCTTTCTTTGAGCAGCACTTTCATCTTCATCTTATTCTTCCTCTTCATCTTATCTTGGTTAAGAGATAGATTTTTTAGATTCTCTTTCTTCCAATCTTCTTCCCTTTCTACTGACTTCAGCTTTCATTCTTTCTTAATCTTTTGCCTTAAAAATGTCAAACAAAAATAATCTATAGACACAATGAAATTCTTTAATATCATCAAAATGTAAAGGTCTTCCCAATTCAAAATCCCCTTTTAAAGAAACTCCTTTATTTAATTAAAAGTATAGTGTTAAGACAAAGTTTTATGTTTGATCAACATAAACTTCAAAATTTCTTTAACTTATTGATCTATGCATCATATCAAAATAACTATTGTATGTCCCTTCTAATCCACTTTTTTTGCGTTTTTATTCAAATTTTTCAAGATCAAAATCTTCTACCCAAAAATCAAAACCATTAGTAACTTAAATTTTGCAACGTCCTTTACTTTCCATTGGTTGAAAGTAAATGATGTATTCTTTTTAATTGTAAATGATTAGTGTATTTAGAAATGCCAATTTACCAAGTGCTCTACAAAATTCAACTCTTCTTTCTGTCATATATTATTAATTTAGAGTATATGAGTATGTTCTTAAAAATAGTTAAATATCATGCTTATTATTGTTTAATTAATAATAAATTTAATTAATGATGGAAACAGAAAACTAATAAATTGGTAATTAGATTAAACCTAAAACTACAATTCTTTGTTCAATTTGTGATCTTGCTTTCACTCCTAGTGAATAGAAGACACTTATTTGTACAAATTGTATAATCAATTAAACTGATATTACAATTGGTATTACTAAAGAGGGTATTGTAAATTATTGTCGATTTTGTCATCGTTATTTGAGACCACCTTGGACATTGTGTGAAAGAGAATCAAAAGAATTATTAAGCATTTGTTTAAAGAGATTAAGAGGGTAAATCATTTAAATTATATTAAAATAGATTGAATAAAGTTAAAATCATAGATGCTGCCTTTGTATATACTGAACCAAGTTCCAAGAGGATTAAAGTGAAATTAACAATATAGAAGGAAGTGCTCAACAATACCAATATGCAATAAGTATGGATCTAACTAATTAGACATTCATATGTGAATTTTTGGAACATTACTAACAATGTGAAGATTGTAAAAAGGAATTCACTCCTCATACTTGGGGAGCAGCTGTGTAAATTCGTTAAAGAGTAGATCATAAAAAAACATTTTTTTATTTGGAACAATTATTATTGAAATATAATGCAAATGATAAAGTATTGAAAATAGAATAAGTTGATGATGGATTAGATTTCTTTTATAAATCAAGATCACATGCTAATAGATTAGTAGAATATTTATCAACTATATTGCCAATTAGAGTGAAATAATCAAAATAATTAGTATCACATGATGCTAGTAGCAATCTATTTAATTATAAGTATGTCTATGCAGTAGATTTGCCTAAAGTGTGTAAAGATGATTTGGTTATTTTGCCTTAGAAATTGTGTAAAGAATTAGGAGGAGTAGGTAGAGTGTAATTATGTTATAAATTAACAACAATTGTTCATTTAATAGATCCATTATCAATGAAATGTTCAGATCTATCAATAGAGGCATTTTCTTTATATGAAAATGAAATTGAAGTGTACAATCTAAAAACACATTAACATGAATTTACAGTTGTTGATGTTGAACGTATACATACTAGAAATTTGAATGAAAGTTATATATCAAGTTCATAAAATACATTCTTACCTAAATTAACAAAAGTCACTATTATTAGAGAATCTAATAATTATGTGCCTATAACTGTTAAAAGTCATTTGGGTGATATTCTGAAAACAGGTCAGGTTGCTATTGGTTATGATTTAACTTAATTGACTATTGAATCTTTAGAGGATATTTCCAATTATCCTGAATGTATTTTAGTGAAGAGATAAATTAATAAAGAAGCAAGAAAATTAAGAATATTTAAATTAAAGAGATTGGAAGCTTAGAATGTTATGGAAGAGGAAGGAAAAGAAAAAAAGAGAAATTAATGTATTTAATTATATAATAAAAAATTTAGAAAAGAAATAGAATGATTAAGATGAGTAATTTGAAGAATTTTTAGATGATGTAGAAAAGGATAAAGAAATGAGAAAGAATATCAATTTATATAGAGATGAAGAAAAAATTAAAAAATTAAGTAAAGAGGATTTAAAAAAGAAATAAATGAAACAAGTTTAATAATAGAAAAAGGATGATGATGATTGGTAAGATGAGGATGAAGATGATATTAAATTAGAAGATTTAATGAAAGATTTGAATTTGGAAGATAAACCAGAATTAGCTGAACCAGTAGATGAAGCATAAGAAGAAATTAATCAATTTATTACAAAATTAGAAAAAGTAACAATAGAAAAATGAATCTATCAATTCTTATTTTTAATAATACATATTTACATAAATATTACTCAATTAATTTTAACTAATTCTTATTCTTTTTCCTTTAGTTATTATAATTCTTATTAGTATTATTATAAGTATTCTTATTAATATTATTATTATTATTCCTCATTTAATTCTCTCTTTTTTTACTTCTATTTAGGTATGAACACCCATAAACATATTAAACCTATACCCAATATTACACTAATTCCAATTACTATAAATATATAATCCATCTACTATTCTTCAATCTCCAAATCATCTTTAATCTTTATTTTCCTCTCATCTGTTTCATTATAAATTAAAGTGGTATTATAAAAATATGTATAAGGAACATTGTAATTTTCATAATAAGCTTAAAATATAACTTATCCATAAATATATTCTTTATTAATCAACACTACTAATTAATCTAATATATACCTATAAATTTAATTGATTCTTGTTTCTCTTCCACTTCTAAAATAGAAGTATTGTAATAGAGAGAATTATCATTATCTGAATATTTTTACAGAAATTTAATATCAATTTCACAACCCAGTGCTCTAATAATGTTCTCTTGATTTGATAAATGCATTTTATAACTATAAATTATTCTTAATATTTTTACATTAATTTATTTAAACTTAAACTACCAGTTTTTTTCCTTTTCATTGTATTAATGGTTACTTCTAATTATTAATCAGACAATTTGTAAATTTCAAATCTTGAATTCTTGATATACCATTAATCATGGGAATATTAAATATGAGGTACTAAACTAAAGATATTAAATGGATATGGATATGGTCTGTCTGTTACTTAAATCTTAATAATTATATCTTTTTAAGTAGCTAGAGATAATTTTTACATTTGAGTTTTTCCTAAACAATCTAATTTCTCAATTTACAATTCTTATTCTTAAATAGCTTAAATATTGTATTATTAAGTTTCTTAGATGATTTCAATATAATGATTATTAAAATTAATATACTTAAATTGATTTTGATTATAGACATCCACAAATATATGATAATCATCAATAGATTAGAGGATAATTTAATATGGTTATTCAATTTATTGAAATTAATAAATTAATGTCTTTTTTGATTTATTAAGTATAAATTCTGATTTTGGAATTATCTTTAATTTATTTGAATCTCCAATAGATTGATAATAAATATCAATTATAAAATCTGATTAACTTGAAACTTATATAATATATTCTTATTAAATTCTATCTATTTTAAAAATAAATAATGTAGTATTATGACTGATTGTATTTCTACCATTAAATACTCTACCTAATTATAAAATTATTGGATTATATTGATTGTTTAGATTGATAGAATAATATGAATCATTCCTAATTTGCAATATACAAGATTCATTTATTGGAATAATGTGATTAGAGTAAGTTAAATCCATTTAAATTAAGCGATTGATTTAAGAACGAAAAGTTAATTTGATAGATTTTGAGTAAACAAATAAATTTAACTCTCCTGGTTTAAGATTGAATTCACAAGTATTTAGGCAATGATCATAATAAATTCTACCATAACTAATTGATAATGGAATATTATTATATGTAAAAAGTAAAGATAATATAGTAGGTCTAATTGGTTAAAGAGATAAAATATATGTACAAGAGGAACATAAATCCTTATCAATTTAGATTATTCCTCCAAAAAGATCACTATTATTAGTCAACTCAATTATTTCACTCTTGTTTTCAATTCTTATTGAAACCATAATATTTTTTATATTGTATATCATTATTCGAAATGATTCCTAATGATTATTCAAGTAATAACATGAAACATTTTCATTAATGTAAGTTTCTATTAATTATCCATTATGAATATAGTGTAATTAGAATCCTCCAATATGTAATAGCACTTCAAAAATGCAATCCTCAGCCAATACTCCAATCACATATTATCCTATATTATCTTCTTCTGATATTGTAAATGTATCTAATGAAAATTTATAAGTGTATTTATCAATAGTAGGATAAAGAATTTCTCCTTGTAATTTGGATTTCTAGACATAAATAATGCTATTACAAATTTATATTGTTCTAACAGTAATTTGGATATCTTTTATCTGTTTGAAAATTTCAAAGTAGTAATAAGACATGGTTTTATTATTGGCATATCCAAGAATCATTTCTAGATTTCTAATAACAGTGTATTTGGAGGATACCATAATGTTGAAATAATTGAAATGACCTAATACATAAACATTTATTAGTAGGAGGCAACCATTGTTTTTGCATTTTATTAACTTAGTTTGATTAATGAATAGTAATTTATTGGATTGACTTTCACTAAATAATTCTTTGATTTCATAGTTGTTATTTGTAGGATATTTGAGTTTCTCAATATCTATTTTAGAATCATATTCAACTATATTGCATAATAGTTCAATTAAATTGAATTTAGTATGTGCTTAAATTTTAATGGGATAGATGAAATTCTTAGGAATCATATAATAAAAGTAATAATACTGTTAATCTATGTTTGGACTTGTCTAAATGATATTATCTTTTAATTCAATCTTAAAATCCTATTCTTGAATCAAAAGAGAATACTTATTGGATCCTTTACTGTATACTCCAATATATATTATAGCTTCAAAGTTATAATTAGGAATAACTATGTAATTAATTTTAGGTTAAATTTAGTATTAAAAATTGAATTAATCAGGATATTTGTTAATAAAACTTATATAAATCTATAGATTATTATCATCATTTTATTCTGTTTAATAAGTTAAAATGATATACAATTATTTATGATTTTAGAAAGATTAATAGTAATAATATAAAGTTTGTTAATCGTTAAGTAAACTATAAAATGTATTAGCAAAGAATAGTTCCAAAAAAGAGCTTTTGTGATAGTACATTATTTGATATGATTCATTTTCTTAAAGAGATGTTGATTTCACATACAGATAATAGAACTATTTTGGATTTTCAATAATTAATGTGTGACTCATACTTGTAAGGGTTAGATTAGATTCATTAGGTGATTTGTTACCAATATTTCTATCACTACTAAGTATGTAACAAATAAAGTTACCCTATAATGATTTTAGATTAATATAAAGGATATTAGGTTCAGTAATTTCAAAACTGAAGTAAAGATCTAAATCAATTGTTTTGAATGGATTTGCTAGAGTCAATGGAATATACTAAATTTCTGTATCTAATTTACTTTTTAGAATTAGAATTATGGAATACTTTAAGTAGGTAATTGCATCAATTTGAATTTTATAAGAATTACTCTCTTCATTAATATACTAGATAATTTCAATTTTTTAAGTAGTTAATTTATTTTCTTAATAGTATGAATGTATATTATTTTTTTAGTATAATATATTTGATTCACCTTGATATGCAGCTGTAATGAAGTAAATTTGTAAATCTTGTTATTTTTCTATGAAATTAGTATAATTTTATGTGGTTAATTCTTAAAGTTAATTGTAATAGATAATAAATTTATTAATTTTTATATGATTTTATTGACTTATCATCATTTAAAATTTTAAAGAAAATCTCATAAAATCTACTTAACTGTAGATTGCAATAACATAATGAAAATTAAATGACTATGATTCAATCCAGAATTTAGTTACATTAGTTTTACTTTCATTATTATCAATATAGAATATTAAATTATTATAAGATTGAAATTTATCAAATGATGATGCATTTTATGGAGTGATTGAACAATTATAATAATTATTGATATCAGCTTTTTAGAGATACTCAAATATATCATCAACAATTTCCATCTCTTCATAATCTTTAATACATTATTTACTTAATATAACACCATGTCCTTTTGGAAAATTAGCTTATATTTTAATATTTACTTATTCAAATGATCCAAAATCATCGAGTAAATATAAAGCAATCTAATTCTTCAATAAGATACCCTCATAAACTTTTGGATACATAGGTATCTCTCTTATTTTTTAGTTTAATTTCACTTGTAATATATAATCTAACATCTCATGTTTTTTTGTATTTATTGCAATCAAATAAACTTTAGTGTAAATCATTTTATATGGAGGAATAGCATAATAATTATATCCTTGATCAAATTAATATTGCCATTCAAATTCTGTAAAATCAATTTCACATCTATTTTCTATGCATGGTTAAATATATATGGAAACTTTATATGTTAAAGGAATCACTTCAAATATTAATATATTTTCATTAAAATTATCAATAATTAATTTGTAATAATTTACTCTATCCTTAATTATTTGATCATATAATTTTTCATATAAAACTATTTCTTAGATTATTTGATAAGTTTTCAATTCAAGAAGAAAGAAATCTGTTTTATTAATAAATAATGTAAGATCATTTTGAGGATAAGTATAATTTTTTTATAAAAATAAATATCCATCTTCTTCAGTTAATGATTCTAAATTAAATTCATAATTAATAGGATTTTTTTCATTTATTGTTATGTACATTGGAATATAACCAAAATAAGAAAGATCTTTAATCATAATGTAAAGTCTTTCATATTAGATATTAGTTAAATTTATTTTCAATGGTTATATATTATCTACTTCAAATTATTTGATCATTATTCCTTCATTTAAATAAAAATCTTTATTTTCTGTCATTACTTTTAGTTCATAATGACAATTGTATTTGCAAAACACTATAAAATAATATGTTATATTTTGTATTTATTTTGTTGATTCAATTTTGCACATAATTAGATGATTAATCTTGCAATCTTGAGCTTCATAAATCTGTCTTTAATATTTATAAAAGACTTACTCTATTTTATTATCTTTCATAAATAATTTATGATTTTCACGAGTATCATTGTATTTTAGTAATAATACAAATACATCCTTTTCTTGTGGAATTTCTAATTTATAGTGATAAACAGGATAACTGAGCCATGAATTTGGTACTTCTCTAAACTCTTATAATTTGATAGTTTTACCCATAGAATGTATATGATTTATCAATCTCCAAGTTAATTATTTCCTATGATTTAACAAAATACAACAATATCAAAATAATATACATTTTATTATGTTTTATAAGACTGTTTCTGATAAAAAATGCACACCCTCTCCTTTACGTAAATGCTCTCAATATCACATTCCAAATACATACTTTTCAACAATGAAACAACCTATAGAGAGATCATTCGAACCAATTGAGAAATAAAAAACATTAACTGATGAATAACAAGAAATCTAAAAATTGAATTAAATTATTGAATAAATGAAGGATGAAAATACTAAATTACGTTCTGCATTGTAATAATAAAATCAATAATTTTTATATGAAACTTAGCAGTTAAATTAACAAATAGTCAATATGCAATTAGAATAACAATCACTCAAATAATCTTTAATAGATAGAACATAACAAAATAATAAGATGATTTAATATATTGAAGAGTTATCAAATTAACATAAAAATCTTCAAATTCAATATTAAGATGCATATCTATAATTACAATAGGCAGAAATCTATAACAATTAAATAATGTTACTTTAAAAAGAATTGAAAGGTAAAGAGGATGAAATTGAAATACTAAAAAATGAACTACAAATTCCTACTAAAATAAATACTGAATAATCAGAAAATCAATTAATATTTGATTTTCTTAAAAATGTTAAATAATAATATACTGATGATGAATGTAGATCACTATATTTATATGATTGATATAATATATATATATAAGTACTAAATATATATAGATTAATAAATTTATTGTTTACGTTTACAAAATAATTAAGAATTATTTATATCATAATTTTAACAGAATTATACTACTTCATAAGAATTTTATATTAAACTAATAATAATTCTATAAGATTTAATCTAATTTTATTTTGATACAATTTATGGTAAATTAACAAGTAAAATAAGAATTTAATAAGACATTTAATAATTTAATAATTATTATTTGTATGAACATTAATAAATATTAAAAAAATGATTATTTTAATGCCAGCCTACAAAAATAATTTGGAAGTCCTTATAAAACAAGATTCCAAATAAGGTATGGGTCTAATAGATCATGAATAAAGTGACACTTTTTAGATGTGGAAATTTCGAGGTGGGTCGACAATTATTTATGAAGAAAGTATAATCTCTTCATATGGCAGATTAAGTTTACTTTGAGAGTAATGATACATAGACTAATAAAAAGATATTACTGAAGGTGAATAAATAAAGTAAGTTGTTTTATAAAGAATTCAAATAGCAAATCAATATGAAATCATGTTATCTGTGACTCAACCTACATTTATAGTTGTCAAAGACATTAAATCATCAAATGGATCTGAATATCCAATTGTAGCCAATTCAATTATTCGTTTAGGAAGAGTGTATATGTGTTTACTCATTTCTGTTAGTGAATACAGAGTAATTGAAGAGAGAAATAAACAGATGCAAATTATACATGCTCCAATTAAGAATTAAGATTGTTAACAAATAAATGATATTAATAAAATATATTAATGCAGATTTTGTTTCATGGAAGGCAATTAGAATAGAGATTAATTATTTTTGACTAATATTTGTAAATGTGTTGGAAATAGTTAAGCAGTACATTTAGAATGTATGCGTTATTGGGTTGATTCTAATATCACTCGTGAAGAGACTCAATTTGGATTATCATTAAAATGGTAAAAAATAAAAATAATTAAAATAGGAAGAAACAACATGAATGTACAATTTGCAAAGAGAGTTTACCAATAAGAGTTCAATTTGAGAATGAATATTTCGATTTATTCACTCTTGAAAGACCAGAATTATAATATATTTTAGTTGAAGTAATCCAATATCATTAAATATATAGAATGTCAATAGAGAGAAGAATGTTTGTTGTGAAATCTATTTGATACATGCTCTTTTGTAAGACAATATTAAATTAGTAATTATTTAATTAGCTATTTTTATTTAAGGGTAGAGGATTCCAATGTGATATCAAAGCATAGGATATAACTGTATCTCGACATCATGCAACAATAAAGTTATCTAAAAATAATTTTGTAATTGAGGATAATAAGAGTAGATTTGGAACTTTGGTTTCAATCAATTAGAAATGTGAAATTGATTGTGCTGCTTGTGGTTTTTAAATAGGCAAATTATTGATCAATCTTATTTAACAAGATTATATACTTAAAGGTATTTATATTATAATTATTATTATAGGAGCACCATCAACTTAACATAAATTAACTTAATTACCATAAATTAGTAAATAATTAGAAGAAGATGAACCATAAATGGATGATGATTCATTTCAACTAGAAAATAAATGATTTCTATTCTTAATTAAATTGATTTATATATATATATATAAATTTATAGATTATTTTTATCAAATATAAAATTTTTAATTAAATATTTATTAGCATTTCTTATACATTTTCTAATTTTACTTTTAACAATCATCTAATTTCTTTAATTAATCTTATATTCCTAAACTATTATAATCGCTAACATAATTTGAATTGTAATTCAATATAGTAGCCAATTAACCTGTTAATTCTGTTACTTTTTATTACAATTCTTAAATTATTTCAAAATATAATTATTTTTCATGTTTCCATTCCTTCAAATTGGAATTTTGAGAATTTGCTTTATGAAGTTATTCATTCTATTTTTATAATATTTACATTTGTCCTTATAATACTGCAATAGTTTAAGCATAATTCATTAAAGATTTTTAATAATCATCACGAATTATTTAAACTTAATGTTTAATCTCTATATTTAATTTATTTGAATAAGATTATTTCATTTCTTTTTCAAATTCGATACAAGATTATCTCCATTTATATTCTTATTATTATAATAATTCATTTAATTTCTTATTTTCTTCATTTCTTAATTCTTATTATTTATTTAAATCTTATATTATTTGAAATTGATCTTAATTCTTTTTAGTTATGATATAATTCTATTCATTATATTATTATTAAAGTATAGCTATTTCTTATTCTAATTTAATAATTATTTCATTTTATTATTTGTATTATTATTGTAATTATATTTATTCATTTAATCGTTATTATAACATTTAATTTAAATTTTCATTCTCCTTTAATACCATATTAATTTTATCTGACCATCCTTTTTCAACAATTTGTAATCTCTCTAATTCAAAACATTTTAATAAATATTTTTATGATAATTATATAAATTATTCTTTAAATATTTTATTTGCTTATTATGATTCAATCAATTATTAATTAGTTATTGATTTCTATTCAATATTTAATTCTTCTCTTTCATTTAATATTTATTACAATTCTAATATTTGTTAAGATTATTAATTATTAATTTTTTTGTATTATAATACAGTTTATTAGAGTGATTATGTTTCTCTTTATAATGATTATAATAATACAGTTTAATTATTGGTTTCATAAGCAATTTTAGCTTTCTCCAATTCTTACATTAATTATTCATTAATTATTATGAGTTTTTAATTTTCATCTATCAAAATAGTAACTTTATTTTATAAATTAATTAAAGTATGTTGTTCTTTTTAGTTTTTTTAATTAAAATCAGATACCTATTCATGTTGATTAATTGAAACAAATTTATTCTCTTTAGTTTCTGAAACAATCTTCTTATTAACAGTGTCAATTATAGATTAATTATGTGATAATTATCTTGTAATAGTAGGTCTATTTGATTGCATTGAACAAGAACGTTATTTGGAATTCTCACTACTTACAGACACTTAATTTAAATATGAATAAAATACATTATAATTCAGAATTGCATTCTGAGTGTAATCTTTTTGATCCACTTGATTTGATGGCAGATGATTTGATTCCTGAATTTAGATTGACTGATCTGATAACACCTTATGATTATAGAGAATTGAATATTGATTGAGGGGATTGTTTGTAATCTGATATTGAAATACTCTGCAACATGTTTCAAATTTAAATTAATATATAATAATAAAAATGTTAAGAAATTTAATTTTTGTACATAATTCACTACTACACATTTCTTAAAATTAAGTAATCTTTAATTAAGTGTAATTAAATTATAATTATAAAAGTAATTGAATGATAAGATAGAAAATTTTGAGAATGTAGAAACTTCATTATCAGATGGTGTACTTAATATACATTTACAGAATGAGAAATCATTTTTTATTAATAGATAAACTCCTAATAAATAATTGTGGTATTCATCTCCAATTAGTGGACCTTAAAGATTTAATTATCTTAATGGATAATGGGTCAATTCAAAATAAGTAGAAATAGAGAATTAGTTATTTAATGAAATTAATTTATTATTAATAAAATGATGATTACATAAAAATTGGATATCAAAGATTAAGGAGCTTTTATAATACTTCACGAATAGGTTTCGATCTTGGTCTAATTACTTGAACTAATTCGATTGCCTATTCGAGAGAGTAATTTAAATCCTACACCATATATAGTATAATAGTTTAAACACTCCTTTGAATCCCATCAGTGCAATGAATATACACACATTTACCTTGATCCAACAATTTCCTGAGGATCTAATAAGCATGAATTCCATTTTATAGATAGGATCTTTTATTACAATCTTTTATTGGACATTGTATATAGATGATACCAAGAGATTAGCTTTGAGATTGAAGTTCATTGAAATAATCTTCAGACAAATCCTTGTTTATTAGATCTTCAACAGTCTACAAGTTGAGAATGGCATTTACACCCATATCTTATAGAATGCGGATTTCACTATTATATTAATAATTATAATTACTCTATATAAATAAATGAACCAACGTATAAGTTTTCAAAAATACGATTATAATTAAGATTGAAATCAACACCTTAATCAATCACATGAATCACATTATTGATTATTGGATGGGTGTTAATCATACGAGCACTACCTCTCTCCCACTTTTCATTAGATTAGTATTTATAAGCCAATTAATGAATAGATTTATTTGGGATTTGAAAAGTAGATATGCATTCATCCTCAATTCTATTGAAAGGAATCTTATGTCTACCAGTTTATGTATACAGATTAAGTGTTATGTTAGAATGTAGATAATTCATGAATTTAAGAGTAATTCGTAAATGACCCCAAATATCTTAAACATCTTAATGGGAATTGAACACTCTATTGATTCCATCTTCCCATTCTACAATCTATCTGTTGTCTTACTTAACAACTACATAACGATAATTCATTGGTAAACAACAAGAGTCCAGTGTCACACTCCAGATATCATCTTAATTCCATTGCATTTAAATTCCATTCTATACATTCCATTATATCTTATGACAATCTCCAACTATTAGAATCACTTCACCATAATTGACATGTTTCTGAACAGAAATACAACTCATTAAAATAATTAATAATCTTTCAAATCAATATATATGTTTTTAATACTCAACTAAATTAACAATTTCCTATACTATCTAATTATTCCAAATTAATTCATTCTCCATACCCTAATGAATGATCTATCTATCACACAATCATCAACATACATCCCTTATTTCTTTCGTATAATTATAAATCCTATATTCTTAAATAATTGACTATAGAACTTCTACTTCAACAGTCTATGAATTTGATCCATCATAAGATTCTAGTAGATGTCTACTGATAAATGCTATAATCAATACTCCTCTTAAATCCCCTTATAAATCTAATTCTTCTTACTCTTAATTGATCTTCCTATGAGCAATTTATTTCTTGTATTCCTCCTTACTTATCTTATTATTTCCAATCTTCTTGTCTGTTTTCTATTTGAACCATCTGAAGGAGAAATACTTTCTCTCATATTCAAGACTTAAACACCCTGATCTATATTGAATTTCAACACTATTCATCTTTCTAATTAAAAAATAGCTCTCTCTTAAATATTTCCCTAAGTAGTCGTAAGATATTCTGGCATCTAATAAAAAATTAGTAGAATATCTAGATTCCAGAAATGCAATTGTTAAATTCTCTTCATTACTCCTTTTATCTACATTTATACTATATCCTTTGCTTCTCTAACTCCTTATTCATAAGTGAATTGATACCTTGTCTAGTTCAAATAAATAATCTCCTGTAACCATTCCAAAAATCATGTTTGCAAACTCCATATATCAGATGTTGAATTATACATTATTCTCAATAATATTCCAAGAGATCTGTATTATCTAACTTTAATTAAAGTAAAAAAAAATTTGATGAATCTAACATACATTTCCTTCTCTAAATCTTAATCATCTGATTCTCTTCTTCTTCATTACCATCATCCTCTTCATCTTTATAAATGCCCATCATGTTTCTGTAAATATGAATTCTATTTGAAAATTGTTAATTTTATGTCAATTAATTGCCCATTCTCTACAATATCTTTATTTTTTTCATCTGATAAATATTATTATATATTCTATGGTTTCAAATCAGTATGAATGATACCAAAAATTCTATATTATCCAAATCAATTAATATCTATTTACTCATTTTTCCCACAATATCCAAGGGCACAATCTTTATATTTAATAATTATACTCCTTTGTAATTATATCATTTTATTAACTCCAAAGAATTCACATCTAAAATCTCTAAAACCATACAAAAAATAATAATTGCAGTTTATGAGTATCACCTTTATTGAAATATGTAAGTCTTTCCTTATATTAATCATATTTAGTATTACTTCTGCATAATATTTTCTTTTTTGATTATATCCAAACAAGATTTTATACTACTTTTTTATACGATCTCCATCTAAACATGAATCATAAACTCTATTTTGCTACTTCCAAAAAATCTGATGAAATCTACTAAATTTTTCATTCCATATGTTTATCATATTTGAAATCCTTTGTTAACTACATAGTATATAAATGTCCCCAACTTAATTTGTGAATGGGAACATAACGATTCAACACTTCTTGGTGATATCCTTTCTCATAGGCATATTTAACAAATCTCCTATCTTATAATCTTCCATTTCCTCATATTCAATATAATGTTCTTAATTTAGAGGATTGATCAATTCTTCTATCTACTCATTAATTACTTTTTGAAATTATCAATAATTGATACCACCATTTGACATTTTTATAAATATTTTAATATTTAATGAGACATAAATCAAATGAACTAACAAATTTACTAATTCCTGATTAATAAGCATTCGCTTTTAAACCACGTTTTTCTAAACATAAGAATTTTTATGCCAAATAACCTACTGTATTTGATTTACATTACGTTACACCAACTCAATAACATGCTAAAAATATACTTGATAAGATTTGTCTCATAGATAAAAAGGCTATTGTTAATGATAGACCAGAGTCATCATTTTAAAAACGAAAACATTTTTCAGTAGATATATGTTTTACTTCAAGACCATTGTTTATGTAGAAGAAATAAATTAGAATAAAATCAATTTAAAAACCTAATTTTTAATCTAATCTATAATCAAACTTATAAGTTAATTTATAAGCTAAATTATCAACTCATTTATAAAATAACTTATAAACTAGTCTTTAAATATCTGATAAAGATTGGTTAGCCTTTATTTTAGAATGACTTTTTGTTTATTTTATATTTATTTTTTAAACAATCTAAAAACAATATCATTTGTTAAGTTATGTTTCTGTCAATATCGTAATATCACCATCACTGCGTCCACAAAATAAAAACCTTTTATCCTTTGATAGAACAATAGATAATGGAATAAATTTGATTTTAATCTTGGCATGATATGTCTATAGATATGGTAATGATCTCCTAATTATCTCCCCATTTTCTGTACCATAGATCTATATTCTAAAAAACATACAATACCATAATATCTTAATAAAGATTATTCCTTATGATTTGACAATCATTCATGGAAAAACAAGTCTCTGATTAAACATCTAATAAATATCCATTAATTGAATAACTATATATTTTATGATCTTGAGCTGAGAAGAAAACAATGCAAAAGAGGGGACGACTACTCAATATGATAGAATTTATAGTGTGTTTGTTGGGATGTGCAAATGATCTCAAAAGGGATCCATTATAAAGATTATACACATAAATGAATCCTCCTGCACAACCAGTGGCAAACAACTTCATTTCATTTGATACATAAATGCAATTAATCTATTAATAATAACAATTATACTTAATTTTAGTGTTGGAAATACATTTTATAGACTTAAAGCTTATAAGTATTTTTATCTATTTTCCAAAGTATTACATGTCCTGTTTTATCTCCAGATATTATTATGGATTCTTTTTTATCAGTTGCCAATTTTGTAACTGTACTTGTATGGAATGAATAAACATCATTGATTTGATTATTTTCTCCAATGACAATTAATTTACCAAGAAAGTAACCACCACATAGGAATAGTTTTCCTTAATTTAAGATTAAAATTGGTTGGGATGTTAGACAAACAATAGGATCACATAAGAAAAAGGATTCTCCTTAAGGTTTAGCAAAATTCATTTATTTTTCCTTTTCAGCTGCAAATGTAAATGGAGGTTCATTAGGTTCACTAGAAGCAGTGAATTTGAAATAATTAATCTTACCTTCTTTTCTTAAGCATAATAATCTAACATTAGATATTAATTTAATCAAAACAATAGGTTAATTATTTTAAGGTTATTAATCAATAATGGGTTTTAAAGGATTGGAAATATTCTTCCTTTAAATAGGTGTAAAGTTGGATAAATTGGATGAAGTTGAAATAAATTGAAATTCATTATTGATATTCTTCTCACTATGTTATCTAGTAAATAATTATAGAGGTGTGATTCCAAAATTAACTATTTAAGATTCAATTCCCAATTTATTCTCTTCCATCTTTTACATAGTAATAGCACTATCATAAGTAAGATAGAAGAAAACATTTAATGATTTTTAGGCTTCTTTACCTCTTTACTTATATCCATAGATTAGATCTATCCATTCTGGTAGATGTTTAGATACTTCTTCACTTTCCAAAGCATTTCTATAACCAGCTACAAACATCCAAGGATTACCTTCACACCATTTGGGTAATATGACATTATTTACTTATATACCATTTTGAGTTTTGCCAAAATTAAGATTTGAAATATTAAGAAACATTTCTGGTAAACAAAAGAATTCTGGAATGAGTTCTCTAACATCAGCAATATCTTCAATTGCACAACGATAACTTTCATTAAAGGAATAAAATAATCTATCTGCCATATCAAACTTATCTCCTTGAATAGCTTTGGATGCACTAGTAAATGGTTCCAATCTAATCATATATTAAGAAGTAATGGCAGGAGATGAATAATGTGAACCATAATGAAATGGAGGTATTTCACTCCCCTATTCAGATTGTTCAAATCTCTCTATATAACTTTAAATTCTAGATTCATTTCCCATAGCTCCCATTGTTTTATATAATGGTCTGAATCTTCCTTCAGGATATATTTTCATTGGTTATATTTAATTTTATACACTGTGATCATTCTCTTATAATACCCATGGAAATATTGGATATTAGGTGAAATCATTATAACTTCTTGAAGACATATTATTAATCATTAGTAAATACTTGAAATTACTCATTGAAGATCTATTTAATAATAATAAATTTATACTTAACCCATTTTTAATAGTATCCCTATTTATCAATCAATTTAATAGGATCTGTTGTTTTACTTTAATTAAAAAATGGGGCATCGGAACTCTTTCTAAAACTCAAAATCTTAATTGAAATTTCTTCTAAATCATATGGATCAGGAACACTGAAGAATATAGATTTACTTATTATTTTAACATATGTATATACCCATCAATAAAGAAAATTTCAAGGGCATTTCTTTTTTGTAAATATTTCTTCTTAACAATTTATACAAGATTGTATATTGGATACTATTTAATAAGTAATTAATCATCTCTTAATTAGAAATCACAAAGAGAAACATGACTAGCTTTTTCAATTAAATTCTCATATTACACTAAGAGATGAGTATTGTTTAAGGATAAAAAGGCACGGTAAATGTATAAACCATCAATCACTAAAATTCTTTTACCTTTAAATGTGTTATCTGCAAAAGATTTCACATTCAATTATTAAGTAAATGGTTATTGAGTTGCAATGGTTTTTACAACATTCTTAATATTATTGCCAATGGCTTTACTTATATTATAAATTTAGGTAGCAGTTTGGATAGCTTATAAATTTCCAAAGAATTTCTATTTAGAATGAGGATATAATAATAAAGGAGCTTCTTAAGGAGTGTGAATTACAGCTTTATTTTTAAATTCTTCTGGTATTTTTACAACAGTTTTTAAGTAAGGACGAGCTAAAGATTTAGTTAGCATTTTAGAAACCTTGACTGATTAGATGTCATCCATTTAGAATTGTATATTATAGTCATATATAAAGGAATCTCTCTAATAGAATCCTTTCTTATTTGAAATCCACTCTCCCTCTAAAAAGATATGTTTAAGAGATTTGTAATAATGATGTCTTCCAATTCTTTCTTTGTTACTTTCAAGATATAACCATTAAGTTTTCCTTTCTTCCATTTAGATAAGACGGGATTCACCAAATGATTAGACATCATTAAGTAAAGTATTTAAGGAAACACCTGATTCTTTAGACCATCGTTAAGGATGAATGAGTTTAATATCTACATATTCTTGATCTAATTTAATTTTATTGATCAATTGTTCTATAAGTTTATCATTAGTGAATTATGTGGCAAGTAGAGCATCAAACAATTAATCAAAATCTTCATAGACTTCTAAGAAAAAACTATATAATATAGAATTGTTATTCTTTTGTAAAGTTATATTGATCATTTAACATATTTATTTTATTACTTCTATAATTCTTTATTTGGAACCTTTCTTAAGTGTTGCAGATAGAATTGATTTTAATGGATAAAATATTTCAGATTTACAAATCTCTTGACAAAGTGAATGTACTAATAATAATTAATAAAGATTCTCTTAATCACTGACACTTAACAAGATTTCAAACACTTAAAAATGATTTAAATTACTGTTTAAAAATTTAAACATTCTATATGATAAATCTCTAATTGGACTATTTTAATAATTAAAGATTTTTGTAAATTGTTCTATAATTAATACAAATATATATCAATACCATTATTATTAAATATATAATCTTTATAGAGTAAATTAATTAACATATTGTATTTCTATAGATAATTTAGATAACGTTCTTTCATTTCAAATAGATACATAAGAATAGTCAAAATATTCTTCCATATTTATGAATCATAAGTAGGTGAATAATTTTTGCATTAATCACTAAAATATTGAAGAATGCATATACTAGAGTAATTCAAAAAGTGCTTGGATTTATTTATCATTATCACCATTAAAATTAAGTAAATCATAAAAATATTCTGCTCCATTAATCTCATATTTCAATACATTTAAAAGTAATGTGGAATGTAATCTATTTCCAATTTCATATATCTAATTATAAGATTATTATATTTTACTAAATTATTTTCTACTTAAATTGATATGATTCCTAATAATGATTATTGAAAGTGTTCTTCATCTAACATTATCTTACAATTATTCTAATGGGATTTACATAAACATAAGAAATCTTACAGAATTTATGCTTTAAGATTTTGATCTTGAGAATATTTCAATATTTTTATAATTATATTGATAATACCTGAACAATTAATTTAATCACCTTCTTCAATCATAACAGATTCATTATTTCCTATTTTTAATTTATGTATCATCCAACCCATAAGTTGATTATATATTGGTGATAAAGTTTAACTTTATTATTAATCATCATCTTTATCTAAAATCATTGAATAATTAATAAATTATATTGCTTCTTCTGTTTATTATGATGAATAATGATTGTATTGTTATTATGAGATCAAATTTAAGAAATAAATTATCATAGCTCTTATATAATTTGATGAAGTAGTTTTGAATAAAAATAATAATTGATAAACAATATTATTTTGATTCCATACTTATAAAATGTGGTTAGTTTTGATAGATTCATCTAGATTGTCAACTAATAGACT